AGGTATAAATGCTGTTGCTCTGGATTAAATATCGTATAAGGAAGAGAATTTAATAATTGTTCAAAAGGAAAATGTAATATTTTTTTTTCCCTTTGGGTGGGAAAACCACAAACTTGGAATAACCGTTTCTCAGCAGACTACTGTGTCTTGGAATGTTAAATGAGAAAAGCTTTAGAAACCGATTGTATTTGTTAGGGTGACTTGTTATATTGTTTGTTCTCCACCTATATATGAGCCTTGTTTGTGGTGAAAGAGAACTCTGGGTTTTTTGTATTGAGACTATTTTTAAAATTCTGCCCTGTGCATAGAAGCTTTGTATTTTTGTTCTTTGCTTATTTCTTGGCTTTGGTTCTAATAGAATGTGAACGTGTGCACAGGTTATTTATTTTCATAAGTGGAAACAGCCCTGGTGCGTTTGAAGCACCATGTTGTGTGTTTACGGAAGAAAGTGAACTATCAGCCTTGTGGTTTTAAAACAAATACTGAAGGAAAGAGTAATTAAACATGACGGTAAATGGAAATGGGATAAAATGCAATGGAAGTTTTTCCGTGAGTAGACTGTGCCAGAATAAATGACCCCTTTTTCACCTTAAAATCTGAATTAAGATAAATATATTTAATATAGCAGGTCTTATTAGAACACTTATTATGATGTGAAGTGGGAAACTCTTAAACTGAAGGAGAGAGGCACTAGTTATGAAGTGACTGAGGGACTGGTTAAAGGGGAAATAATAGGTTCCACAGAGAAGGAAACCCCTAGGCTGGGGTGGGACTAGTGATGAGATAGTATCTTCACAAAAAGCTTTGCCCCAAAAGTTATGATTGTGTGAAAGGCAAACATTAATCTAGGCTATGTGAGGTGAGATGTTTGTAATGGACATGTAGAAGTATTAAGGCGTTACACAGTGCACAGTTGAGGGCTTGTCTAGGAAGAAATGCATCCTTTTGATAATGAGAAGTGAGAAAGTTTGCTCTCAAACAGAATTGGTATAGAAAGGCCTCCTTTTTGTGAACGCAGGGAAACAGCTTTGTGCGTTGGCTTTGGCCCCGGTAGTACCCATCATTTTCTGGGGAGATGCCCTGAAGTTTCTTGTGGCTTGGGATTTCTGTAGTCTTTTGCAGTTTCCTTTCCAACTCCACCTTAGTTTGCCTTTCTGTTTGTCACAGTTTTTCTTTTCAAAGTAGCGTAATACTGTCCATTTGTGCTTGTGGCTCTGAAAAGCTAGTCAAAACTTTACTAATTGTCTTTGGAAGTGGCGCTAAGGATAGCTGGGCTGGTTTGCTCATCCTGCGAAAGAGGAAGAGTGCTCTCTTACCAGCTTCTGCTCCTTAGACTGTCTGCAGCCATGAGGTGTCCCAGGCTGCTAGTGCAACCGCCTCTTTGGCCTCTCATATTTTACCTTGAGGTGGATTCAAAAGCAGCAGTAAAGTTCTAGTTCTGCCTCTATTGCTGCAAAGGCTTCAGGAAGAACTTCACTGTGTACATAATTATAACGGTACATTAAATGCAGAAGGTTATGTAATGTATTTGCATTAATTAAATGGTATCATTCTTTGACTGCAAAGTTAATTCAGGTTGTAACCCAAAGCAACTCTTCCCCCTCCCCATTGGGGCTTAGTTTGTGTTTTATAGTTGTCTTTTTAAAAAAAAAAAAAAAGGGGGGGGGGAGGAAGAGAAGGAGGAGTGGAAGAAAAACTGATTTTAAACGTCAGTACAACCCCACCGTGGCTAAGAGTGATCTATAGCTTTAGACGTAGCACTAGGAAAGGGTGAGCAGCCCTAGGAGGAGTCTTCAGAAGTCGTTTTGAGTCAGTAGTTTCCTGCTACCAGCCTTGCCCAGTCTGGTGGGTAAATTAGGAGCTCACTGTTTCACATCCATCCAGTGAAGACAGGGAAAACTGTCCAAACAGTGTCTGTTCCTACTCCTCCAGACCTGCATAGCGAGTGAAAGAGGCTCCGTAGGCTAGACAGGGGCGATAATAGAGCAAGCATGAGTGATGGTTTTCCTAAATACACTATTGTATTGAAAATCTTCATGGCAGCAGTATGTGATTTTTATATATAGAATCATTGGTGAACCTTTTATTCAGACAATAGGAAATACCTTTTTGCCCTCTAAAGGAAGGTGTTTGCCACCCTTTTCCTGTTGCATAGTATATTACTTCTGAAGCAACCCATTGGAATCCATGGTGAATAAGATAGGACTGACTGTGAGGAGTACCAGCTTTGGGTACTCATTTCATAACCATGAATTAAATATGGCAGTGTACATGCTCAATTCTATAAAAGATGTTATTTCCATCATACTTAAAAAGCATTTAAAATACTTCTCTGTTAAAAGAGAATTTATGCCTTTTATTTTTCCTCCCCTAATACTGCACTGTCTTGATATTGGGTCACGTGGGCCCTGAAGACCAGAAGCTAGAGAAGTTTCAGTTTTGCTTACTGTGAGGTCTGGTTCTTGATCAGTTTGGCTTTAGGCTGATGTCTAAGGATTAGCCAAATTGGAGAGATTTTAGCACTCTTTCCTGGCAGACAGGACTTTTGTAGAGTTTCAGGATAGTGTTTTTCAGATGTACGCGTCTAGTTCTAATGGTTCGGCTGGTCCTTCTTTAAAAATGATATATATCCAAGAAGCAAGTCAAACTGCCTGTTTGACAAGGGGAAACTGGAGACTGAATTTGACTGCTGAAATGCTGAGGTGAAGATGCTCCTTGCTTGAAAACGCTCACTGTTTAGTTGTGAAAAATAACATGACTTTATAGCAAGAATATTGTTCTTGCTATAAAGAAACTGCAAAACACTAAGCAAAATCACCTGAAACTAAAGATTTATTAACCTTGCTATTTTTTTTTTCCTGGCATGGCCTGGAGTGTATTGCGAAGGATGGCAGCTGTGCTTGGGCTCAAAGTGTGCCTGCCAATTGTTTACTGACTGCAGCGTGTTTGATACAGGACAGTGTTCAGAAATGCATGGTCTTGTGTGACAAGCAGAAGCACAGCTATGGAAGTTCGCTAATGATTTTTGCGTGATTGAACATGGGTGTAGAGGCATACAGTAGATGAGGCCTAAATACAGACAGTGCCATTTGGCCCCCTTTCAGGCTCTCTTGGTGTTTTGGAGCGTAAATGTCTCTCTTCCACCTCCTTTGTTAATATTTTGCTCTCTCCTAAAGAAAACTTAGAAATTTGCAGTGTATTTAGAGTTTTTCTAAAACAGGTGTGCCTTTTGACTGGGATAATGACAGAACACCTTCCTCCTCCTCCATCGTTAACCTTTAGGAGCGCTGCTCATGTCCCCGTACGACCAGAAATACAGTGAACGATGAATAAAGGCTTTCCTCCTGGACAAGTTTTTCCCTCCAAGTTTAAAAAAGCTAGGGTGGCTACTGAGGGTTGGGTTGTGGTGATTTTTTTTTCCTTTTCTCCTCCTCCCCCCCCCTTTTTTTTTTTTGGTAAAGCAATAATTAGCAGTTGCTGTTAAATCCCCTCAATTTGAAAGGCATTTCGTTTTCTTTTTAAACTGGTTGGTCATGTCAAGCTGCTTACAACTTGCGTGGTGCTTTTAGTGTTGTTTGGGAAAGGTGTTATATTTAGAAAAGCGCTTTATTGTAGAACAGCTTAAACATTATATTGAATGTGGTATTTAATAACCAATAAGATGATTTACGTTACTAAGGCAACCGTGTTGCCTGTCACGAAGCATCAGTGTACAAGTGTGGAAGTACAAAGGGATAAAATCTCACTGGTTTATGCTGTGAAGGTGGCTGTCTTCAGTGCCCTGCATAACCCCATTCTGTTTATTCATGAAAGGATCTGTGTACACTGGCAGCACTGGGGAATTTAAGACATGCTCTAATATCTAGTTTACGTAAGGATTCCTGCATATATTAGATATTTGGTAAATGTGCTGATGTGTTCCGGGGGAAAAGTGGAGGGAGGTGGCTTGAATAAAGTTGTGCGGTTAAGAGTGAAATAGTTAAGCATCCTTCTTTTCTTAGTGAGTCATAATGGGATTTGAAATATAGGTGTTTCTAAGGCATCAGTTTCCATAGCACCTGTGGAGACTTCTCCCCTTTGATGGCTTTACAAGCTTTTGAAGGTGTGAAGGAGGCCTGAGCCCCTCTTTCCATTCCCCTGTGGTTGCAGGCATGTCCCGTGCAGCCGGGTGCCGTGCAAGGTGAGCTGTCTGGTTTTGTCTATTCAACTGCCTTAGTTTTTGGCTTTCAGCAGAAAGCTGTAAATGCCACAGTTGTTACCACTGGTATTATTAGTGCCAGCTCCAAGTTAATGCTGCGTCACCTAGAAGATAGCTAGCATGTCAGTATGCACATCCATGGAGACCGCTAGACATCGGGAACTGATGGGACTGAATTTAGCTGGCTGGTTGTTCGTTTACTTGCAGATCAGCTCTTTTACTGTAGATAGTTAAGACAGAAAAACACTTAAATGACCTTGAGTCACTGCCAGGCCATGACATTTTATTCTATGTTGTCTGTTACTGCTTTTGTTTACTTGTGTCACTGCTTTTCCTTGGAAGACTATCTAAGAGATTATTTAAAAAATTATAAACAATGAGAATAGCAACCTGGCAGCCTGTGCTGACACAGGCTTGGATCGCAAATGTTTGGGAGCATTTCCTCCTTTACCTTTTCACAGTAGCCACGTTACAATAGGCAGTAAGTTCCTGGTAGGATTCAGAAAAGTGTCCAATTAGGTTAGGCTCCTGGCGTTTTTTCGTTTGTTTGTGTTTTGCTTTGTTCTTGTTTTTCCAAAGCAGCTTTAGGTGCATTCACCACGTTTTAGCAATCTGGCCTTATCACTACCATGGAAACCAGAAAGAGTTGGAGAGGCAAAAGTTGTCTATACTCTGGTTTAAGCTGCTAAAGGATTAAAATCATTCTCCTCTGCCGTCAGAGGTTGCTTCAGTCGGAGAGGAGAGCGAAGCCCTGCAGCTCGCTGGCAGCTGGGGAGGCTGCGCTGTTCTGGAGAACCCTCTCCTGGTACTCTGCGCTGAGCTGGGGCTTTCTAGGTTGAAATGAGGAGACTCTCTTGAAAATGTAAGTTTCTAGATTCTCTTGACTAGAAAGAGCTTTTTTCTTTTTTGTCTTTTAACTTACCTGATTGCCTGAAACGTGCCCAGTTTTGTGAAGGCTCTGACGCTTCAGTGCGTTTAAATGAAAACAAAAAAACGTTTGTGGCAAAGGATTGCTTTTTGTGAATTTCCTGCTCGGCTCTTTAGAAACGTCAAGACGTTCTGTTCCGATCTTTCTTTTACATAAGGAAAAGTTCAGGATTTTTTTGCTCAAAAACTGCACTCTTAATTTGAAATTAACTTAGAATAAAACAAGGCAAATCAAACAAAAGGAAACAATTTTGAAGGGAAATTTGTTGTTATCTTTTGCTGTTCCATGTCTTTCCAGGCTTTTTTTTTTTTTTTCTTCTCTGCTACTGAAGGTTTAAGGCAGTAACTAGAGAAGCTGGGGTACGTTGTAAAGAGCAGGTTTGGAGACTAGCTGGAGAAGCAGTCATCTCATCTGCAGAGATACAAGAACGGTGCTGCTGTTAGCTGCTCCAAAAGTTAGCTGGCGATGCCAAAAGAAGGCTGACTCGGAAACCTTCAAAGCCCTCATTCAGCCTGAATGTAATATGTAGTTTTAGGTTCATGTTCTTTTTCAAGAGCTTCAAGTCTACGTCACCGAGAGCAAGCAGTAAGAATGTGTATAGAAGTAAAATGAAGAATAACTGGGATCTCTAAGTAGAGTGAAACAGTGCCACTCACAGCTGTAGTGATGGACACGACAAAAGTGATACAATTCGTGTCATCCATTTCCACCTTTCCATCCAAAGGCAGCAGAAACAGTTGCCTGGCAACTGGAGAGCACAGGAAGAAGTGACATTGTGGAAAGTAATTTAGTATAATAGGCAACTCAGGCGCTCGCTCTCTTGCGCGCTCTTCCTCTCTATTTTTATCTATATGTGTGTATATATACATGCACACATATACAGTATACATCTGTAACTAAATATACGCTATGTGCACTTATTTACTTATATTTGTCACTTTAGTTACATATATAAATATATCTATAAATAACTTAACTAAATATATACATATATTATCTACAGATGGTAAAGAACCCAGTGCTATCTCTTACCATTACAAAATCAGTGTGTTTCATCTTTGTAAGAGCTGGCTGTGGAGCACGGCATGTCTCTGACTTGAAGATAATAATAATTTTTTTTAATAAGCATTGTATAAGTTAGTATTTGAAAAATTCTTATCAAATTTTAAGAGAAAAGATACATTGTTAATGTGAATTACTCTTGAAGACATAACGATGAGATGAAGAATGGAACATTGGACACTTAGCTGCGGTTTCTGTGATAAAAGACAGTTGCCTTCACGCAGAACACATTTAAGAATTCTTTAAAATATTTTAGCCTCTTTTAAACATATATATAAATATATAAAAAATACTTCAGATTTTGAAGGGAAATTTTCATCCATCTTCCTGATGGTCTGGAAAACCCTTTGAGGGGGAAGGACAGGAGTGTTCAGAAACCTATTTCTGATATTAAATGGCTTCTGAGAAGCTGAGCTGATAAATCAGCCTTGAATTTAGGTCTGAGGAGTTTTAAAACCGTTCCCACCCTGCTAACAAAAGTGGCTGGCATACAAAGGGATGGCAGGGGCGCAAGCAGCTGGGCCAAGTGAGGCACGTTTTGGTGGCTGGCAGGGGCTCGCGGCCCCGTCCCCTGGCCGCCGGTGGCCCCGCTCAGGGCTTGCCGTGCCACCCCGGGCGCAGCCTGTCGCTCCCCTTGCGGCCTGCCAACCTGCAGCGAAGCTGAAGAAATTCCAGGCTGGTGAAGCTCGTCATTGGTTAGGCACAAGGTGAAAAGGAAAGGAAAGAAGAAATAGAAGTGATGCGCGGGTGTGAGAGCACAGCAGGGGCTGGTTGAGAGCCGTATGACTGACAGCTGCGCAGCATCTTCCGTAGCGCGTGAGCAAGCTGCCCCAAAGGCTTGCACAGCACACGCTGGCAGTGGGGAGTTGACTGCGTCCCCGCACCTGATTCTTCCCTGCGCCTCTGAGGATGTCCTCTGCTCCTGAAGTAACTGCTCTTGTGTCGCTAGTTCATCCAGTGCAGGTGTTTGTCTTCCCCTCTGCCCCCTTGCAAGAGTTTCTGGTCTAAACATTGCAATGAAACTTGGTTTATTCAGAGCCTTTAGCTCTGGTTGGTGTTTATCAGTGATTTTATGCAGCTTTCTGGGGAGCTGTGAACTCCTCTTGAAGATTGTACTCAGGAAGGTTTTTTTTTTTTTTTTTTTAAAGAAAGTAAGAAAGTAAATGTGAAGTGCAAGAATCAGACTTCAGAAACGCTTGTCCACTGTGGCTCAGAGTGAGTGGGAAACCAGATCTGGAGGGAAGAATTGGCTTTATGGCAGCAGAAATAACTTCTGATTGCAACTTGCTATTCAGAAGCGGCTTTCATGTTTCTTATGTCAGTCTCAGAAGTCTGTATATTATATGATGAATTAAATGGCTTTTTAATAAGCACATAACTAATATCTCCCAAGCTTGGTAATTTAGGCACTTATGTGAATAATAACACATGATGTATAATAGCATGTTGCATTCAGTTTTCTAAACTTTAATAGAGAGGGCAATGGTGCACAAATATATAACTTAATTAGCTCTTAATTTTTAGTACTTTGCAGCCCTCCTTTATGCAGATATTTTCATTTGTTTTGCAGTGCAGTTGTATCAGTAGAATAATCTTGTGAGTAGTCAGGCTACCAAATTATGATTTCAGTGAGTCTGCTGAGGTTAATAAATGTGGGTTTTTTTTTTTTTTAAGATTTTAATTTTCTTTTCATTGGGGAAAAGTATCAGTGTAGGTTTTTGTTGTTGTTGTTGTTTTTAACTTACTCTTCAAATTGGGTCAGTATACAAGTGCAGCGCTAACAAAATGTTGCCTATTATAATACTGCCTGTGCCTGTTAAGCTTCTCTGATGGAGCCTTGCCTCCATAAAATGACTTGTCTGAATTGTAGAAGCATTAGCGCATAGCTTCTGCTGAAGGTTCTGGCCTAGTGGCTATGACTCTTCCCTGGGTGGACAAAATTTGAACACCCTCAGGCAAGGGAGCAGGTGATCCCAGTTCCCTCTGCTTCCTGTGCAAATGATGCCGCTGCAGAACTGCTGCGTAAACGGCTCGAGATGGCAAGAGCAAATTCTGCGCTGTTTCGGGAAGGGACTAAGCAGGCACCTCAGTGCAGCGGCGTGTTTGGCCTGGGCTCTGTAGGGGTCTTGGGCCCTTACGGTGGGTGGGATTTCAGGCATGTGCTAATATTCTCATGTTCAGTGCTTTTTTCCCCCCTTTTTTCTTTTTTTTTTCCTTGTAGGATGCTGTCTGCAGTGAGATGTTGAATGCTGCGTTGTACGGTTTGCGGTAGAAGCCAGGTACCTCATTTCTTATTGTCGTCACGCTTGGTTTCCCATTACCTTGCCGCATGTGGGCGCAGCCCCTTGTTGCGGCTGAAGTGTAGGCTCTGTGCTCAGGTTGTAAGTCTCACTTTTGTTTCCTTCCACTGCAAATGCCTGTTCTTTGTGTGAGGCTGGATAAAAGTCCACAGCCACCTGTATGAAATCCTGAGAGCAGACAGGCCTGTGGCTGTTCCAAAAGAGACTGGGGGCATTGAATTGAAAGGCTTACAAGTTTTATATATATATATAAAATATTACATTTTATATATATAGAAGTATTATAATACACACACATATATATCTTGTCTGTTTTGAATTTCCTAGTGTTTTATTTTGTATATCTGCTTGTTCTTCTGTCCTGTATATGCAAAGAAAAATGGCCAGACTGCCTTTTCTCAACCATTTGCTGTTTTGTCATACTTGGTGTTTTTGCAAAGAGTGGGATTGTTCAGAAGACAGTCTCTCTTTGAGAGTATTTCCATTTCCAGAGTCAGACCTGCTACCTCTTTCCAAAACTCTGGCCAGTTTAGCAACATCTTGTGGGGTGACTAGCACAACATGGTCCTCTAGAGAAGACTGCAGCATTGTCTTTTAGAAGACACTTAATAGACTACTGTTGTTTTTTTTCTTTTTTTTAATTGTGTGTGTGGTTCTGTGGTGGTGATGGTGGTGGTTTGTTTTTGTTCTTTGTTTTTAACCACGGCTGTATCTTGAGCAGAGTTTTGATGAACCATTCCAAGCCACTTCCAGAGTTAATTAAAAAATCCTGTGTGATTTTATAACTAGTATAAGAATTTATTTTCAAAGTATACTGTTTTGCATTTTTTAATACTGAAAGCCATTGGTATTATATTCCTTGTCCATCCATCTATACCACTTAATTCTCTTCAGAAATTCCTCCAGTGCTATCTGATACTGCTTTACATCAAAAAGTGTCATCTGCTCATGTTAACTGCCTTTCATCTCTCCCTCCCGCTGCCTTCCTTTGGGTTCATCAGACTATGAAACACTTTAAAACACAAGGATGTGGGGGGTAGGCTGTTGTTATGAAAATTGAGCCCTTATTCTCGCCCTTGCTGTTTGTCTGCTAACCAGCGTTTGTTCTGTGACGGGACTTTGTGTTGCAAATGGACTGACTGTTTGGTGGCCTCTTGACTGGGGCCTTCTGGAGGGGCCTCCCTGCCTCCAAGAGGGAGCCCTGACCCAAGGGCAGTGGTCTGAGGAGTGGGTTTGGCTGTGGATGTAGTGCCTAGTGACTAGTGACGTTATTGCTGACATTAGCAGATATTGTGTATTGCCTGTGAGAAACCTTAAGCGATATGTCATTATTTTAAAGAAACTAGAATCTAAGTAGGGGCACAGGGGAAAGAAGTTAGTGTTGTGTTGGAAGCAACACCTTTCAGAGGGAAGAACTGTACCCCAAAGTGTAATGCCAGTGTTGAACCAAAGGTGAAAGCTGGCTTCTTACCCATGCTGGCATGGCTGGGTATCCGGCAGGTATGCCGGCCCAGCACCCAGGTCGGGGCCAGGCAGGAGGTGGTGGGCACCCAGCACCTTTCAGCTCTGTGCGCCCACGGTGCCTGCAAAGGAGCACCGGGGCGGTTCTTCTTTCCCTCTTCCGTTGGTTGGGTAGGCAGTGCAAAGTGTTTCACCAAATCCTGAATGTCAAAGCCGCTCTCAAAAACTGGCGTGTGTCATGGTTCAGGCTTGCGCTGCCATCGCTGCTGGCATTCGCAGAGCAGTCCACTATGAGTTTGATTTTGTGTTGAATTTGTTTTATAAAATATATATGCATTGATAATCTTATCCATGCTGTGATAGCTCATAGATTGAGCAGTACTTTAGCTGAGTAAGGAAGGCAGAGTCTTGCCTTAAATAATAGCATTAATTAAGAAATAAGAAAAATGTGAAACTTTTGTTTCAGCAGAGATTACCTTAAATCTTCTCCTCTTTGCCCAGGAAATGTCAATTACTTCAGACGCATTGAAAATCTGGATGTGTTCCAGCATCATCTTTATGCCTTTTTTGTTGCTTTTTCCCTCCTTTTTAGCTTTATGCTGAGAAATACACTGACTTTAATGACTCAAACATGAGAACTTTCCTTTAATTTTTAACCCACCTTTTATATCTGCATAACCTGTAACTTCTAATTCCAAGCAATAGCTTTTTAATACTAAGTATTAACGATGCAATTTTACAATAACTTCATTATGTGAAAGTTATAACAGGTAAAACTTCTGGAGCAGATGTGCTGTGCAGTAAGATCTTGGTGCACAGCTGGGCAGCTGGCAAACGCTGTTGGGTGCTGAGAACGGCACGAGAGGAGGGCTAAGTTCAGTTTCGCAGGATGTTGCTGATTTCCACCCCCCACCGCCCTGGTCCGGAATTGGTTGTTATGGCTCCAGTATCTCCAGGTGTGTGACTGAAAAGCATATGCTTTGAAAAATAGCTTTCCAAGCGTTTCTGTGAATACTAGTTAAACTCCTCGTGAGTACTGATGGATAGTTCATTGTTAATTTTTAATATGTGACTTTTTTTAAAACTCAGTTTATTGTGATAGTGTCTATGCATTCTAATGTTTGTGGTTTTATTTAAGTAAAACTTAATTCTGGAAACCATATGTGGTGAACTTGATGTCTTAATGGTTCAAGTTCAGTTTGATATAATAAGCACTGAATCACATGTAGCTCTGTGTTTGTTGCGTATGAACCTTAATTTTTAGAGGTTCATATCTGCTCTGTATTCAAACGTTAAAAGAAATTTTGGAATAGTCTCCATCAATAAAATTAAACTGAGTAGTTTTCCTGTGAAACTTCCTGTACTTCCTGCTTCTGTTCTGGCTTAAAATTGATGGTATTAAAAAACACCCTTCCTTATGCTAATTGTCGCTTCCATTTTTAATTTTAGCCAGCATGTGAAGGTAAAGAATAGTGACAGTTTAAAAAAAAAAACACTTGAGCATAGCCACCTTTTCTCAAATGACAATCGTCAAAGCTTCAGGTTTCTGTCATTGTCTTTATATAAAATATAATTTTGCACGTGCAAATACTTCCACATGTTACCCATTATTATCTCAGCACATACATATAGAGAAAAAATGTCTTTGTAGGAAAAACAAGCAACCAGAGGAATCAACCTCTCAGTGAGAATTATTTGCCTGAGGAACAATTGCCAGATTAGTCCAAGTAGTGGCATATATGTTATTTTAGGGGAATTTATCAGGCAGCCTATGAATACTGCCTTCTTGCTTCTCATGTCAACACATTGCTGAAATCAAATGGTGATTTTAATGTTAGTCGATTTTATACATGTGTGTCAAATGTGTCTTAATCTGTTTTTGTATGTAGTGTGCCTGCGTTGTATCTGTTATTTCTCCTGTGTCCGAGATTGTAGCTACTTCCTTCTTAACTTTAAATCTTCTCTTCTTTGGCCAGTAAATGTTAATTACTTCAGAAGCATTGAAAACTGGGATGCCTTTCCTCTTATTCATTGTGGCTTGTTTTTGTCATCCTCCCAATAACACTTGGCTGCAGAGATGCCCAAATGGTGTTCGTTTAGGATGACATAGGTTTTTCTTTCCTTTGTTTTGCCTGGAAAACTTGCCACATTGCATTTGGCATTTAGTCTGGGTGGCAGTGTAGATAAAGCTGTTTGTGAAAAGAGGATCGCTTCAGTTTTGTACTGTGATAGAATATGCTAAAGGACAAAGTGAAAAGGAATCCTGCAGACAAACCCCTGCTCTGAAATGTCTATAATCCTAGTTTTCAAATCTGAAATCCAGTCTGTGCAGTTATTCCCGAACAGAAAGTAGCTCTGCTTCCAAAGTCTCCCCAAACACACAGCAACAATCTTATGGGCAGGACACATTTCTGGAAAACAGTAGCCTTTGTGCAGTGAACGTGCAGGAAGGGAAGAAATTAAACCCAAGCTTTAAGAGTGGTGAAGGAATAAGGAAAGGATTAAAAAAAACAAAGAGGTTATTAATACTGGCTATGTAAATGAGTATAATTTCTCAAGTAGGCTTTTATTAATTGAGAATAAAACTGGGAAGCAAGCTGAATTTTGACAGCAGTGTTTTATGGCGAGATAAAAACGCAGTAACGTGAGCAAACCGTTTTCCTGACTATTTTTCTTTAATCTGATAGAAGCAAGCATAGCTGTAACCCCTAAATGAGCTTATCAGCGTTACATAACATTTGCAAACAATGCTTTGAATTCAGCTTCCACGGGAAGCACGAACAATTACTCCAGTCCTGCATGTGCTCATGCCTGCTCTGAACCTGATCTAGTACCTCCTCCGGTGATCATGTTTTCAGTGCATAGTTCTTCCCTTTTAAATGTAGTGCTCTGTTGAGTATCACTTTAAAGTTTTTAAATGTAGGAATTGAAAAGCAGGGTGATGTAGTAAATAGCCAGATTAGGACACTTGAGTTGCTGAAATCCGGTCTAAGTCTAGGACAAAATTCCAGTTGACTTCAGCAGAATCAGGCTTCAGCGCAGGGTTTTGTCCTTGGCTCGGTGATGCTGGGCAAGTTACTTCCATTCATGCTGGTTTGTTCCCTTGTGTTCCCTGTGTCATGTCTGCTTGCTCCATAATCAATTTGGGACTGCTTCATACTGGGTTTTAAGGTTCCTGTATGGAAGCCAGGGGGCCTGTTTTGTTATCATGCTTGACAATCCAATGTAAGTCTTTAGGGGACTAAACAAAAAAAATTCCGTAATAATCCTTCATGGCTTTTTGCAATGTCCTAATTTTAACAGCCATTAGTCATAACATAACAGTGTATGGACTTCTAACTATGTGCTAGTGTCAACCCAACAGAAGTTACATGATCTTCCTTTGCCGTACTAAAGAAAATGTTTCATTATATGAAACTGGTAGGCTGAAATAAGAATGAGGAATATAGTGTTGGATGGGGGTTGTTTATTCGTTTTTGATTTTTGTTTTTGTGTGTGTGCGTGTATTTTTTTCTTTC